CTATACTTACTAAACTTATTCTTAATATAGAAATAGTAGTTCTACTATACTAACGCTATTATAGACTACTTTAAGTATATACTTATCTAACTAAAAGCTCTTACATAGTAGTCTATTAACTAGTATAAGTAATATACTAATAATTACTAGAAAGATACGCTACGCTATAAGAAAGGCTAGAAGGTCTACGTTAATATACGTAATATAAAAACTAACTACCTAATAAAGAAAGAGAATAATAAGATAGCAAGACTATATAAAGTTAAGAAAGTCTACCTACGCGCTTATCTACTAGACCTACTACTATCTATAAAAATCTTTTTAGTATTCTATTACTTACTTCTATAACTCTAATATAATGCTAAGAGCCTTCTAGAATAAGATAAGATTAATAAAGTAGAGTTACGCTACCTACGTAGAAGAGTTCTAGAATAAGAGAATAGATTAGATAAAGTAACTAAGTAATAGAAATTTAATAAGCTACTTAATAGCTATAATAACTATAGAGATCTATAATACTTTATTAAATAGAGATACTATAAGCCTTTCTAGTAACTAGTAATAGACCTTAAGAGCTAAAATAAAGTAATTCTAGCCTTCTATAGTATATATCTAGAAAAGCTAGAACTATTAATATAGGTAAGAAAGTTAGCTAAGCTCTAAAGAAGATAGAGAGAATTTTTTTTATTTTTTTTAGAGTTAGGCTATTTAAGATAAATAGTAGAGTAGAAGAGTAGTACTATTATAGTACTAATATAGATTTAGGTTTAGGTACTACGTACGTAATAGTAGCTAGCGTCTTACTAGCGTCTTAGCGCCTATATAGATATTTTCTATAGTCTACTAAGCCTTCTACTTTTTATAGTATAATATATTATATTACTATATTACTTACTCTATAATATTTGCCTTGTTTAGCTCTTACAATTCTACTATAAGCGTTCTACTTTCTTTTCTAGTTAGTTTCTAATATTTCTAGTATCTTTTATTTTATAAGAGTCTAGGTAACGTTAGTTTAGAAATAGGCTTACTAGACCTACTCTTAATACGTAAGAGAGGTGTAATCTAGGTATTACGTAGCCTATTAAATCTAATCTTAGACTATTAGAAATAGGTTAGAATTAAGAATAAATTTCTTATATTCTCTTTACTAATTATTATAATTCTCTCTTATTTTTCTCTTATATTTAGGTAGAGACTCTAACTTTAGAAGTTACTATAATAGTAGAGAGTAGATAGAGTACGTTAGAGGTAGCGCTAGCGCTACTATAGAAGCTCTAGCTTATTTCTTATTTTAAGAGTATAAGGTAACTAATTAGAGTAGAGAGAAGTATAAGTTATATTATTTAATCTAGGCCTCTAGCTACTAGATCTAATTTTAGAGAGTCTAGCAGCGTACTTAGCAGGTAAGCTCTATCTTTAGCTTTCTAATCTAGTTCTAGAGAGCCTTCTCTAAGAGCTTATTACTCTAGAGAGTTATAGCTAAACGTAGCTATACTTTATATTTAATTTTCTATATTAGGTTTTAACCTAGAGTATATAAGCCTAAGAACTTACCTAGACTCTCTAGATCTTATAACGCTAATACTCTTATATTTACTATATCTATCTAGGCTTTAGAGAGTAGAGAATTATATTATAAAAGAAGAATCTACGTATAATTCTTTAAACTAAGCTAGTAGTAATAGAGTAATAGTAGAATATATAGGTAAGAGATAGTTAATTCTAGAGTATCTTATAATATAATTCTCTACTCTTCTTTCTAGATAGAGAATTATAACTATATCTAAGAAGAGTAGGTAGAGTAAGCTAACACTACGCTAAGCTAATCTAGCCTTGTCTAGACTAAGCTAACGCAGCGCTAGGCTAATCTAGCCTAGTCTAGGCTCTATTAAAGTAGTCTAGATGCTACTCGTAACATTATAAGCTATTCGATAGTATAGATCTTTTAATAGTAAAGTATATTAGCTTCTTATAGTTATTACTTTATTTAATAAATTACTACTATAACTTATAACTTATTATATTATTACGTCTATCTTTTTATTACTAAATAATCTATATTTAAAGTATATCTCTTACTTCTCTATATAATAGTACGCCTTAGTCTTAGTTAAAAGAATAGCTTATAATAATAATCTTATTACTAACTATAGTTAGAAGAGTCTAAATTTAAGATTATAAAGACTCTACTTAATAAAATAGATAGTATTAAGTAGAACTAAAATAGTAATTATATAAGATAGACTTATAACCTAGTAGTAAAACTATAGAATACTAAGAATATAAGTAAGCTAATAATACTATAAGTTTATATACTTAGCTTATAAGAAAAGGCTCTTATATTTATACTAGTAAGAAATTAGATAATATAGAAAAGTATAAAGTCTAGCTAATAGTTCTAATAGTAGTCTTTAGTATAGTATAGAACTATAGTTATAGTTAAACTAGCTTTAAATAAAAAGTCTTAGAAAATATTTAAGTATCTAGCTAAAACTCTTTTTAGGTAACTATATAATAGTTATAATTTAAAGTCTTAGTATAGAAGAGTAATACTTAGTAGTAGTTTACCTATATAGTAAATAGTAAAAGTAATAAGAATAAGTTCTATATTAGAGAGTACTATATTAAAAAGAAGATAGTATATTAAGAAGAAAGAAATAGTATACTCTATTAGAAATACCTCTTTATATACCTTGCTAGTAAATTTATAAGAAAGACTACTAAGTACCTAAGTATAATAGAGGTACTACTAGTGTCTCTAGCTCTATTAAAGTCTATATTCTTAGAATACTCTATTTAGATAATAAGCTAACTCTAGAATAGTAGCTCTAGAAGCTATATTCTCTTAAAGAGACGTATTCTTCTAGACTAGAGTAAACATAGTAGAGATAGTAATAGGCTCTAATAAGCTACTTAAACTACTACTCTATCTTTTCTCTTTACGTATAGCCTAGAGTAGAGATATTAATTATTCTAATAGAAAACTCTAAGAAGGTAGACTTTAATCTAGATAGAGCTAGAAGAGCTAATAGAATAGTAGAGAGAAAGAAGACTATACCTTAAGTAGCTATAAGTCTTTCTACTATCTACTAAAGCCTAGAGTATTAGGTACTATATATTCTATAAGACTATAGATAAATTTAGACTATATCTACTAGTTAGTAGCTATAAATAGCTAGTTACTTAGTAATTAGGTAGTTTATATAAATTTCTTCTTTATAGATATTAGAGGCGTAGATAATAACGTTACTATAAAGATAGATAAATACTAAGAGTAGCTTAAATACTATATTAGTAGCTATTATAGATAAGTTAGCTTTACGTATTATAAGAGTAGATTTCTAAAGTAGCTAGAGTATTACTATATTCTAAGAATAATACTATCTATCTACTAGATAGAAGCTATATAAAAGTAGCTTTAGCTATACCTCTCTATACTCTATATTACTAAAGCGAGAAATTAAAAGATAAGAGAATTAGAAGGTACTACTATAAAGCTCTTCGCCTCTATAGAGGTATAGAGAATATAAAGTAATAGCTAGCTATAGAAAAGTATTAAACGCTTAAGATATCTAAGTATACGTTATACTCTTTTTAGTCTACTTATAGAGAATAATATAAAGAATAGTAATTTCTTAAGAGTATAGTATATTAGAGAGATATATACTTTCTAAAGATAGTTAACTCTACTAGGCTAATATTACTTATAGTTAGAAGTAATAGTTTAAAAAAAGTAGATATAGTTAGGCTAAAGCTATATTAAGTAGATATATAAGATAGCTTATAAGCTATAAGAATAAGAGAGTAATTTCTTATTAAATATAGTATAGCTATTACTAGACTACGTATATCTAGACTTTATTATCTATCTTAAGCGCTTCTACTTCTTAAGTAAATCTTTTTATTAGTACTAATAGATACTCTTTAGAGAGAGTATTCTCTATATAGTTCTTTATTCTAGTTCTTAAGAAGCTACTACTTAGTTTAATTATAGTAAGGTTCTTTCGAATACTATTAGATAAATTAAAACGTATTAAGATATAAGTTAATTAATTAAGAATATAAGAAATATAGCTATATATATATATATAACTAGATTATATAAAGTAGTAACTATATCTAGTAATATATCTCTCTAGCTTAAAGTATATATAAAAAGCTATCTAAAAAGGTAAGGCTTTTAACTATACTTAAAAAGGTAATTAATAATTATCTTCTATAAATATACCTTTTAGTACTATAGTATTCTATAAAAGCTACCTCTTTTATAAGAGAACTCTATAGAGTTAAAAAGAAGTATAGAAAGTAAAAAAACTACGTTATTATCTAGACGATAGCTTAAACCTAAGAGTAAAAAAAGAAAGAATATCTTATCTAATAGCTTTTAGAGTATTTTTATAGTTACTATAGCCTCTCTATAGCTTATAGTAACTTAAGGCTAGATTTATTATAATAAACGTAGCCTATTAATTTTATAGTTAATTACTAAGGCTAAAACTCTATATTCTATTTATCTCGTTATTAAATCTCTCTAAAACAACCTCTACTAATAATCTAAGTAATAGAAACACGAGATTAGAAAGACTCTAAGCTTACTAAAGAATACAATAATAATGCTTTCGCCTTAGCTAATTTGCTATTACATGCTATTTTTAGACTTTCTTAACCTGCTCTATAGCGGTCTTTTCTAGTAAAAGATATATTATTCTTTCTCTATTACAGTACGTACTATCCGCGAACTCGTTATCTAATTTATCTTTCTATTCGTAGTTATGCTATACTTAAAAGGTATACTATAGTTAGATAGCGTTAGTAGGTTTAGCTATATAAGCTAGTTAGGCGCGTTAAGATATTATTTTATATTGCCGCTAGATCTTCGCGTCGTTACCTATTCGTTTAAAAAGTTGCGAAACGTTAATACGTTAGAGTTAAGTTTATAGTTATAAGTCTACTTTAATATATTCTATATAGTATCTATATTTTAATTCTAGTAAGAGATGCTTGTAAAGAACTTATTACCTATAATAAGCTTGTATAACGTAAATACGGCGCTAGCTATATCGTCTTAGCTCTCTAGTAAGTTCTTTTTCCTATATATAGCCTAGTTAAAGTTAAAGAGAAGAATCTTCTCTATTTTAGAATTAATAAGTAGATTTTAAGGCGAAATATCTTAATATATAATTTCTAGATCTAGATTTAGAAAATTAACGAGCTACGTAAGTTATTATATCTACTTAAAACAAAGAGGTAGCTTTTAATTATTAAGAGTTCTACTAAGAATATACTTTGTTATAAATCTAATTACCTAAAACTCTATATCTTTAAGAACTACGCGATTAAATAGTACTATATTTAGATATAGTAGTAGACTTTTAAAAAGGTTAAGCTTATTCTATACTATCTATAGTCTCTAAGGCTTTACAATAGAATTAAATTTAAAGGTAACCTTCTAAGAAATTCTAGCTTTGTTATAGTATACTAATAGATTAATATCTAGTCTAAGCTAATTAAGCTTCTATAGCTTAGAGTACTAGATTATATAGTAATTATAAAGTAATTTAGTAGTTAAGAAAGAAAGATATCTAATAAAAAAAGTATTATTCTCTTCTAGATCTATAGAGACTTTAGAAATAAGCTCTTTGTTATTAACTATAACTACGCGAACTTTAGGTAATAGGTAATTAACGAATTATTCTAATATTATAACCTTAACGTTCTCTTTAGGCGGAATAAGCTTAGTAGTACCTTTAACCTTAATTATACGTAGCTAATTCTAATTCTAGACGTTATAATAAGTTAGAGTTATAAGGTTTTTTCTTAGGCTATAATAATTTTGCCTCTTAGACATAAGTCTTTCTTTAGGTTTAATTATAGTAAGTTAAAGAAAAGAATTAATATAGTTTTGCTTTATTAATATAGACGAAAGATTAGTCTCGACATAGGGAGTGTCTAGGCTTTTGAATTTTTTTAGAGACTAGCCTATTAGCAAATCCTTGGTCTGCTTCTTTCAGCTTGCGCATAGGCCCTGTCCTGTGACCAAGGTTGGGCCTCAGCTCGCTTCAGACTGCTACCTGCCCCTCGCCAGCGCCAAGCCTGGAGCGTTAAACCTTCTCGCCAACTTCGCGCCAACACTCCTGCATCTATCCTTCGATCCCGTCATTATATATCTAGCGCTGCACTGCGCGTTCCGCTTCTCTCTCTCCATGCCTATGGCTCCGCGACCCAATTCTGCTCCCACCAAGAATCACAGGCGCTAACCCACAACTAGACCTCGAAAGAAGACCCCCATCGTGAAGCCCACCCGGCGCGCTGGCACTCGAAGTAGCGCACGACTGCAACATATCCAACCACCTCCCACCCCTCTTGCACCCACTTCTCGGCCGGCCCGCACCAAATGGAAGCGCCCACAAGAAGACTCTGAAGCCGAAGCCGACGAGCCAGAAGGCGTGCGCCCTTCAGAAGAGCCCAAAGAACTCTCTCCCTCCTTCTTTGCAGCCACGTATCAAATGTATTTTCCATTTCTCACCAGCGAGGTGAAGTGCGGAGACGGCGAACTCGATGTTGCTGATCGACAGAATGCTTACGCTCAGTCTGTCATCTTACGCTGTCTGCACTCACTTTTCCAGCTAGTTGACCGAGAGAATGAACTGCATCGGGAGATTAATGGCTTTTTAATATCTCATAACGACGAGGATGTGAGAATCTGGGGCCACTACGTCGTTATTGATGGAAAAGATGTCAAGTTTTACCGGCATTTGATCTCGAAGTTTATTTTCGCGCTATCTGGGGAAGGGGATCAGAGGTGGAAAGCCTACAAGTTCGTCAGAAATGTTTACGACTTGTGGCTTCCCAAGCACTTTGAGAGAATATGCTTCGTCATCGACATGCTACCGGCTGATTTGAACTCTGATGTCTCCGAGCAGGATCTGGCCTCTTCACGCTTAGGACTGTCCCAACAACTTGAAGATTACAGCTTCGTCGATGAAGGAATAATACCGAATAGCCGTAAATCATCGCCACAAAGGGGTTTATTCAGCAAATTCTCAACACTTTTGAAGTCTAAGTGTTGCAGCGCTGCCTTGGATCGTTCCCATAAGCCGTAAGCGGACGAATCATTGTTATTGTAATGGACTTACTATATCCTTAAACCAAGAGTCGCATACTTTATTGTTTATCGATCTGTACGTAGATATCTGTCCAGTCTCTGGATGAAAGAGGACAAGCGCCGCCTCGAATCGGCAGTCCTTTAAGTCGTGAACCTTTTCAATTGCGCCAAACTTTCGCTTCCTTCGCTGCCGCGTCTTACGTCGTCTCTCTTAGCCCATCTGCCGGTGCTGCTTAAAAACTCGCATCTCGAATTTTCAATTAGGCTTTTTATTTGGGCAGCAGTCAAGAATTAAGGAGATCCGGTGCCTCAATCCAGGAACCTCCACCCCAATATTTAATACTCGATGACAGGAATATTGCTGATGGTGCAAACCCCCTAATATCACGGCACAGGTAAATCATGAAACCGATTCAGGTGACGTATCGTCATGACGGTCGAATCTAGCATCCACAGCGTTGGACTGTTCATGCCAGGCATCAACGCGGCAAGGAGAGCCCTCACGCTAAACTTGATTAGTGCAGCGCGCTAAGATCCCGCACATGACTAATTTAGACTAAGAAGGTACTAGCGCACAGCAGGGTTTTACCTCATGTCGTCGTTCGCTTGTCAGCTATACTTTCAAGCTTGCGACATGGCCACACTGCAGTCTATAGACGGCAACGGCTGTTCTTCTGAACTTTACTATGACACAGCTACTGATGCAGAAATCGTAGCTTACTGCTCCAATCCACCTTCGACAACATTAGAAGCCATCCATTTGGGCAAGTACAGCAACACAGTTATTCCTATTTGCTACCAAGCAGTGGTCAAATATGGCCCTGGCGTCAAAATCGAGGAATATACGAACCTCCAAAAGGCCTACCAACTACTCGATCCGTCTATAGTGCGTGTGCCGCAGCCATACCGCTTCTTCCAGGACGGCGCACTCGGATACCTGGTCATGGAATACATGGAAGGCACCGTAATAGAAGAACTTACGGCTTCTCATATTACCAAAGTTGGCCAAGCTCTCTCCCATTTCTCCTCCTTCCAAAGTTACCAGCCTGGCCCTCTTGGTGGTGGTGGTGGTGTGTCACGTGGCCTACTGTGGAGCGAGGGCACTACGACAGAGTACTCGCTATGTGGCTCTATCGAGAAGCTCGAGCATTGGTTTAATCGGCGGATCGAGCACGATGGCCTTAGACTGTCGTTTAAAGAGTGCAGCTTCGTATTTTGCCACCTGGACATTACACCCCGAAACATCCTTTAGTTGCACGGAGATACATTATGTGTCGTTGATTGGGCCTCTGCGGGGTACTATCCACGGATCTTTAAGTGGTGTCTACTAGACATTCTCCATGGCAGGGACGGCCCTTTCCAAGAGCTAGTTAAGAAAACAATAGAACCATTGACCGCGTGAGAAGGGGAGAGTCGGCAGCTGATTAAGAAGGCCTGGGCCAATAGCGTTCAATTCCACTTGTACGTTCTCTTTGCTTCGGCCTGTTATTTTATCCTAATAGGAATGCAGTCCGCCCACTCCGCCTGCGGAATATAACTCTTAATCTTCTGGTACGATAATACAGTCGCTTGCAAGACCGGCTTCCCCTCCAAGCTCGCCGCGAGATTTTCCCCGCGGCCACTCGTCTACAATATACGCTCCCGCCAGCGACAGCATAAACATGATCGGAGTCAGCTAAGCAACAGTTACTTGCGAAGGAAAGATGGGATAGATGGTTAAGGCTTCCCGGTCGGACCTAGGTATAATACAGACGCCCTGCACATGCTTTATGGGAAATAGTCCCCCACTAGGGGTAGATCCGAGAATGCCTCATATATGCCTCAAGCTAGGATCTTACGACAGTGCCAGTGGCGATGCCACAGGCTTTAAGCTTAATATAGTAGTTGCATGAATACGGTGCAAGAAGACCAGGGTATTGTCGACGACCCACTGGCTCACAGACTTGCCCGCAAGGCGTTCTTAAGCACCTAGCTCGCGTTGCCGCCATGGCTTGCAGCAGGCACCGTGGTGTGTCTTGAACGGCGGCCATGCATTGGTGGAAAAGCACTCTGGTGGTTCGACCAAGCACCCATTCCGGAACTCCCGGAGTGATTGCCCTGCAGGCAGAATCGTAGATCTTCATGCAATCTGAAGGATTGGTCCGGAGCGTCCGTCTCTTTGAGAGCTTCGCCTTCCGAGGGCCGTGCGGTCTCTCCCTGACCGTGCATGATGATGTCTTCGCCAATTAATATCCCTTTCCTCTCCACGATGAAGAATGCGACGCGGACAACCTTCGGTAAAGCCGTGTGCATGCCCTACAGCCAGATCCTGATGCCAGTCTTGCATGCTTGTGGTGGAGATGTACATATACATATCAGCAGTAAAGGTCATACGATATCGAATCAGGGGCTATGTCGCTCAAATCTATCGGAAACTCTGTTGCCGTGGGGAGTGGTGGGCACAGCCGTGAAGCAAACTCGGGAGTTGGACACGGGTTTCGAGTCTGCCTGGCACGACTTGGGTGCGGGTGGATAGACTAGGTCGGTGAAGAGTAGGGCGTAGTTTAATGCAAACTCGATGCATCTAAACCATGGACCTCACACTTGGGTCCCAAATGCGGAAAAGAAGGGGCACTTCGAAGGAGACAGCCGGCACGGAAGAGGTAGTAACTGTTGAGACCACCACAGCCCCGAGACCTGATTGCAGGACAGTGCCCGGAGTCGCATTGTCGTTTTTCTCGTGGATTCCCTTGCGTCTTTTCCTGCTTCTGGTTCTTGAGTGGTTACTCTCGCCAGCCACCTCCTCTGTCTTCAACTTTGGTTCCGGGGGTCCTCATCTGCTAACAGCCTGCGTTTCTTGCTTCGTGTTGTCCGTGTGTTGTCGCTCCTGCCAGCCACCTTCTCCCCTGTCTTCAACTTTGGCTCCGCGGCATCATCATCCCCCGAGAACTTGCGTTTCTTGCTTCGTGTCGTCCGGCCGGCCACCATCTTCTCCGTCTCATCCGCCCGCCTGCGTTTCACGACCGGCGGCTGCGCGCCGTCCACGCCAACCCCATCAGCTATCGGCTTTCTTTTTCAAGCAGCTGCCACCACTCTTGCCCGCCGCCTTCAGCTCTGCCTCCATATTGCTTATCTCAGACCGAACCCAATCAAGCCTGCGTTGCTGATGGTCTACTTCGGCCCTAGCTGTCTGGTATTCCGGCGCGCGACTCGATTTTTTCCTGTAGTTTCCAGCAGCCACGTCCAGCTTCTCGAGCCAGCAGCATTCGAAGGCGAGATACTCAACACACGGCGTCCACTGGTCCTGCTGCGTTGAGTCCGCCTGCAGCCGGAAGGGCTCGACGAACCCGTGGTCCGCACGCAGGGTCCTCGCAGCCCCAGCATCCCTGGAGAAGACAGCTTCCGGGGAGCCATGGGCTGCGGTGGCCCGTAGTCATATTCGCGCTCCCACAGCCGGCGCGCTGTCTGCTCGGGGGCTTCGCCACTCATCTCACAATCGCGCCGGTATTCCTCGAGACATGTGGAGAAGATGGGTGTCCGCCGCCTGGTGCGCAGCTGCCATGTAGTCTTGTGCTTCGGGAGGCTCGGCTGTCGATGGTCTGGAGGGGCTTGGGTAATGCGTCGTGATGGCGTGCCGTTCTCGGTCGGAGGGTATTCGGGCTAGCAGTGCGGCGGGGTCTGTGGCGTCGACAGGGCCCTCTATGCCCCTTCTTCCCCTTGTGCGTCGTTTCGTGCCGACGCACACGGCGCTCCAGCTCGTGAATGATAGCGGCATCGTGCTCGTGCTGGCCGACAACGAAGCAGTAGTAGGGACCGTCTGCAATTCCGAACGCGGGGATCGCCGCACGATGGAAGTCGTCGCTGCAAAGTGAGCAGGAAAGCGGACGCGGTAATGGCGGATATTTGTCTGTGGCTGGCTCGGGGTCTGGACGTGGGAGGCGTCTGTTGAGGCAGAAAGTGGAGTGCTGTGATGAGACGAGGTTTCGATATGGGGTTTGTCAATGAGAGGTGCCGCCGACTGGCTGGCTTGGCGGGGCGCCTTGCCAGGCTCCACGGGTGCCCGAAGCAGGACGAAATCATCTAGATTAATACACCTGCCAGTATCTTGGCCCCGGCTGGGGCGCGAATTTCGGCGCGGCTAACTTCCAGGCTGGACCGCCGGCTGCTAGGCACTACCAGGCCACGGCATTTCCGCCGCTGCCTGCTGGCTTCAACTACGCGAATGCCGCCGTAACAGCCATGCAGACCTTTTACGCTGGCCCAGCAGCAGTGCGTCGGCTGGCACAGGGAACCGGTAGCTAGGGGACCGCCAGGGCACAATCCGTTGCTTGCCCGAACCAGCAACAGCACGAGGTTATCACGATCCCGGACGACGAGGACGAACAGCTGGCCCCCGCCCTAGCCCGAGGCCCACTCAACCCTGAGTCTCTCCCGCCGCCGGAAGAGGATTTTGAACGGAAGCCCGGCAAGCCCATCTAGGCTGCCGAACCCTCGAAACAGCTCTTTCTGGGCCCCGAACTTGTTCTCCTCGGGGTAGCCCTGAACGTAGCGGGTGAAGTAGTGACGCGTCTCCATAGAGGTGTGGTTGATGCCGCGCGCCGGTGCGTTTGGATGAGGAGTCCAGGATCTGCCTTGCAGCGAGCAGTCGAACCGAAGGACAATCTGAGAGCTGGATGCGAATTGAGAACCCCAGACTCGGGCGGCCTGTGAGGCGAAGACCGCTTTCGGCGGGATCTCATTCACCATTGCGGGCCCACTCTGAGTGAGATCCGACAGTCTAGTTCTCGAAGCCCGCCCGCCGCATGGCGTACTGACCTGAACGTAGCGGATGAAGTAGTAACGCGTCTCCATAGAGGCGTGGTTGCTGCCACACGCCGGTGCATTTGGATGAGGAGTCCAGGATCTGCCTTGCAGCGAGCAGTCGAACCGAAGGACGTCTCATCCCATTCACCATTGCGGGCCCGCTCTGAGTGAGATCCGTCCAGTTCTCGAAGCCCGCCCGCCGCATGGCGTACTGAATCATCATGCGAAGGTCGTGTCACCTCCGGGCTGGTATCGGAACTCGTTGATCATGATGGAGATGGCGTGCGACTTGCCGCCGTTGGTAACGAAGCAGTCGATAACGTCGACGCTCTTCAGCCGGTGCGGGCAGTATGCGATGATCTCGGCGGCTGTGAGGTCGCCATTGGGGAAGGGGAGGTTCCAGCTAGGGCTGCCGGCACCGAAGGCGTTGTTGACCTGACGAGCGGGCGCTCTTCAGCCAGTGCGGGCAGTACGCGATGATCTCGGCGGCTGCAAGGTCGCTATTAGGGAAGGGGAGGTTCCAGCTAGGGCTGGCTACCGGCACCGAAGGCGTTGTTGGCCTGACGAGCGGGCATCTTATAGATGCTGTCCAACGGTCAGTCCACTCTATAGGAGGTAGCTAGTTCTGGCAGGGCGTTTTACAGCTATTAGTAATTGCAGAGAGGCGTCGCAACAATGCGGTGACCGGCCAAAAACAACACGTAGTAGGTGTCTAGCGTCTTAAGAGTGCCCGAATACTAGTTAGGCTGGTGGCCCACTCTGATTCCGCTTTTCAATGCCAGCGGACTATGGAATTAATGCCATCCGAGGACGGCAGCGGAACGGATGCTGCTGGAGTCGCACCCAGGCGAGATGCCAGGTATACTGCATTGTCAACGATGAAGATCTCTAGGCCAGTCGGTTTTGAAATACGTTACACTGGGGTTGCCTAGGGTGTGACCTTTTATTTTCTAACAATCCCTCCCGTAGCGCGCTACGGCTCCTCGTCCCACTCCACCCACACACCAGGACCTTGCCTATCACGAAATGGCGCCCGAGCAGAAAAAGAAACGCGTCAGTTGTGGGTCCTGCAATTGCACGCAAACTCACCACCCTCCCCTCACTACACTCAAATTACCCCCCTTAATTATTTTGTCGTATATATTATAGATAAATCTACAATCCTATCACTAAACAAGCCAAGTGTCATAATAGTGAGAAGGCGTTTCGTTCCCGTGGCTATCAGCGAATCCCATTGTATGGTCACGCTTAGGGTTCGAATCTGGTTGCCGTCAGGTAATATCAAACTCGCTAATCTTGGATGGGGTATATCAGAAATCAGTTCGCCTGGTATCTGGATTGCCGTAGAGCTTAGACTCTGCCTAAAGCAATTTCTTTTGCCATTTTTTTCTACTTTTATCCTTGGCGGGGGGAACTTGAGCCCTGTGAACGATCCCACACTCCTCAGCAACCTGGCGCCCACCCAGGAAACCCAGCGCGTCAGTCGTGGGGACTTGGAGGGATAAACACTATGGGAAGTTTGCCTCTTTGCTCATTTTTTGGAGGCCAGGCAGTTACGGAATTGCAAGCCCGCGGAAGGCAATTGGCGTAGACTGCCCTAGCTTCAAGGCCAGTTGCACTGGAGAGTCATACGAGGCAGACTCAGCTGGGCTCCGACTCGCCGTGGAGCCATGCAGATTGTACCGGCACGTACTCGCCTAGTCTGCCCCTGACGCTAATTGGTGAGCATTGGTCCGCATGACTGTCTGGATGACGGCAGGTTGCGTTCCGGAGTTACAGATAGAGCAGACAGAGGGGCTGGAGAGCGTCTCTCTACACATTAGAAGCCCCTTTCGGTGCCACTGTGCTTACACGATTCGGTTTTCGCCAGAACGAGCCCGAGGTTCGAGGCTTGCATGAAGATCGAAGCCAAGTTTGGTCTCGGAGTTGCCGACCAGTGGAGAGCTTTTGCTAGGAGCTTCCTTGCCAATGTTGGGGCCGCGGATAAGACGGAACGGGCATCTACACAGTTGTTCGGCCAGCTCTGACGCAAAGGAGGAGGCGCATCCTCCGGCACCGCTTGGATCCAGGAAGCTAACGGCACCATTATTCAGTTCCAGGGTGAGGATTGGTGGGATAACTGCTCACGTCTTTGTCCGATAAGAAAGGCGCTTCATGCGAAGGCTACATTATTACCAACATCCAGCAGCTGTGCGGGCTCCAGCGTGGCGTTTTCGCCTACTTAAAGTCTCTGCGTTTCCTCTTTTCTTGCACTACCAGCACTCCAAGCAACTACAGCAATGGTAACAATGCCCTTCAACACCTCTTCAGGGCCTCAGGGTTCCCTTCAGATTATACATTACCACGGTCCCCCGACGCCAAAACGATCCGCTCAACAACCTCGTTCTAAGATCCATTCTGAGCGTCAGAACAAAGAGAGCCTTACAACCACGTTGGATGAAGTCGAATCTGTTGATCTAGCACTTTTATGTGGGTAATCCTAGCCGACAGAGCCCTGTTGGCGAATGCTCCGATGTTGTGTGTGCACTAACGCGGATGCAGCCGAGGATGAAGGAAACTGTAGTATTAGTGGTATTGGAGGAGGACGCGGCGACTTCAGCCAAGACGAAGGGGTCCCAATGCTGAGCTCTCGAGAAGACGCGGAGAATGAGGCTTCAGGTCAGCCTGCGCCATCTGAAGGCTGCGGCCAAGGTAGGCGTCCAGGCCTGGGGGTGGTAGTGCCCCACGGATGTGTCTTCTAACGATGCGTAGGAACTGCGTTTGTCATTGATGACAATTAGTCCGATTCGAGCAACCTGTGCAAAAACGATGCGGATCCACACGGGGTGGATCAGCTTCCACTCTCCTGTCCTTCGAGCACCGAGCGTGACGATAGCGATGCCCATAGGCTATAGGCACGATCGACGCACTTAGCTCAGAGTCGATGGATGGAGCAAAAATTCCAGCTAGTGACGCTCCGTATTTGCGATCCCCATCGACGCCGCCAACTAGCCCTGCGAATATGAATATCGAACAGTCAATTCAAGAGCGCCTGACCGATAAGAAGGGGGAGGGGGAAGGTAAGCAGCCATTATCGCAAGTATAATCCCTCTATCTAACAATACTTAGTAAGACTGCGTATTATTAGACGTGCGAGCAGCGGTAACAGCAGTGGAAGCGATGCCAATGATAAGATCTACGAGGGCAAAAGCGCAGCATTCCTAACCAGGAAGCGGAAACGTCCTGCACCAGTCGGCGATAAGTCAGAAGCGACAAAGTCGAGCACTAACACTGAAGCGGAGGACCACTCTCGACCAACACACTACAAGGCAGCGAAAGCGGTCTCCGCCTCAGAAGAAGGTGATTGCCAGCCGTTCCGCGGACAGCAGACCCGCCTCAGGAACACCATCCAGCAAGTATGATGGAAAGCAACCGAAGTCGGCGGGAATCGATACAGGCGGCGGTCCAAATGCTAAGAATCCATCTTTCACTCCTGATCCGCCACATGCAACTGGGAAAACAAGATCTTCTGCCAAGAGTGTGCCACAGGTCCAGTGGCGTCTATCAGGCTTCCCACTCCTCCAGGTATCGGCCGACGAATCTTTTTTGACAGCGCTCTTCCGTACTTGTGGCGGCCCGTGCATACTTTCTTCTAGCTATGCAGCCGAGTTCTTAGAGAATGTCGGCTATACAACGAAGCTTGATGCTACAATCGAGCCCCTCACACCAGATGCGTGGTATCTAACTAGTCTCGTGGATCACCTCCCTGGATCTGGACGCGGGACATGCCAGCTAGTGTCTGCTCTGCCGAGCGTGCAACCAAACAGGGTAGATAATACATCTCTACCAGACAACGGCCGGCCTCACGGCGATGTCGGCGACGAAACCCAGAGCCGCGATTATGACAGCAGCAGCGATGAGGGCGACGAGTGTTCAAGCGATGTCATGTATGAGCACATGAGCTCTGGGAAAAAGATTCGCTGGTCAGAAGAGGACGACAACCGGTTGCGCAGATGGAAAGAGGCAGGCAAGCCTTGGGGCTGGATCTGTCGTCAATTCTCGAACAGATCTCCAGGTGCCGTGCAAGTACGCTGGCACACGAAGTTGCGTGCGAAAGCTTAGCAATATTAGCAAAGTCTTACTACCGTTAGTTGCTTAGCTTGTTGTCTTATGCAAGCAAGGGACCTTTGCTACGCCGCAACTTCAGTGCACTTTTCTAGGTAAAGCTTGCCTAAAGAATAAGGTTTGTTCTAGGGTTAGGGAGGGCGTGAGTTGAACGAGGCATCGAGCATGGAGGAAAGAGATATTCAGTGGTGATAATTTGGAAAAACTGTCTGTTCGACTAGGTAGAATAGGAAAGCACGGCCGCATCCATTAGCCTCGATAGTCTGCGTCGAAACGTTCGCTCGATGCACGAGCCGGATCAAGACCAGTCCATTCGCTAATCAGTAACATGAATGGCCATTCCACTATGCTTCCATCCGCGCAATTCGTTCTTAGCTTCTCTCTTCCAGCTCAGCCTCGTAGGATTGATTGATCCGATCTCTGCCTCAACAACTCAATGGCTTTGGAAGATTCAGGAATAGAGAAGGGCTGAGCAAAAATCAACGACAAGGTACCATGATCGTCTCGTCTGGGGAGATTGTGGTATCCGTATTCCGCGAGATCTTCACGTATCAGCTGTTCATCATATTCGGGGCCGGTCCGTAGAGTGCTTTCCTCTTCGTCGGTTTCTTTGTCGCGCTATTGATCATGTCCGTAGTGTAACGCAACCCAGCTTGCTTCTGCGAACGAGGGCGCAAAAAGTGCAAGGAGGCTTGGCTTGGCTTGAAATCATTGAATTGACCTAGCTTCTTGAAAGCTATGCAACTATTCTACATTTCTTCCTGCAGGGCAGATGAAGGAAAACTACGCGAAGTGATGAAAAACCTCCCTCTTTTTGCCTTTGTTCTTCAAATTTAAAACCGCATTATATAAGGAGCAGGTTGCTACCCCTTATTATATTAATCTATATGTCTATCTTTGCCTTTTAAAGAAGAATCTTTATCTAGCAACGAAAATTCTGCAGCGTTAAAGGCGAAAGTTAAGAGAGGAGCAGGATTCAAACCTACGCTTGCTGCGGCGACGGTGACAAAGTCTCCATCAAGCAAGCCCCAGATGTAGCCGCCAACCATCTACACCATCCTCCCAGTGCAAGGAGGGATACTAAGACCCGAGTCGAGTGGTAGTGAACGCCTTGGTCTATCTAATACGGGCCATCGCCTCCCTCACAGCGTATGATTGAACTGACGAGGCTGCTAAGGCGGGACTGAACTTCGTGTGGGTCCACTGTTTTTGACTTGCGAGTCATGGAGAGAATTGCTTCCTGTGATGCAAGCTAGAGCGCGCAAGCTTCTTCCTCGGTATCCATGTCGAATGTTCCTGGAAGTGTTGGAGGCATAAGGACTAAGGAATCAGTAGAGTCCGAATGGTAGTCGATGAGCTTGTCAGTGAAATCTGGATCATGGCGTGCCTCGAAATCGGGAGGTCTGCCTAGACCAACATCGGTGTCTTCGTACGATATTATATGCGCAACCCGTACCGCGTCCTAAACTCTCTTAACCACTTTTGGGTGTTTATTATCGATTGCTCATTGATAGGAGAATCTGTATCGGCATCAGGGCCTTGACTGAGAATGATGCTGGTTCGAACGACGTCACTGCCATATCTTTGGCTGTAGGTACGAAGAGTTTCTAATCAAGAACTGGATAGAAATCGAGACGTATCGCAATTAAAAAGGATCCGTTCAACCATGCTTGTGTTGCCTTTATGAGCACCGGTGGTTCCTTTCTTTGCCAGTATCGACTGGAGTGTCCCCATTATTGTGGGGCTGCGGATGTGGTCCATATAGAATGGTATCAAGGGATCATCTACATCCCGCTCTTCCTGTATCTTTGTTCCTCGAGCATCCCATCTCGCCTGCCATTGCCGTTCGATCTCAAGAAAGTCAACCTTCGAATCGGGAGGTGTGAGCTTCCGTTCAGAATATCTCGACGCAAGCACGAATTTGTGGTTAGGCCTGATAAACGTGCGGTGATAACAAGAGACGCGTCTAGGCCGTGACATCTTGTTGGCGCGCTGTATCCGCTTGTACTCAGTGTATGGATGGGGCGAGGAAGTAAATATAACGACCCGCGGGGGACGCTTCTCTGCGATTAGTAGGTTAGCGAATAGTATATGGCTAGTATAAGCTAAAGAGCAGCTTTTCTCGATACGACTGACGTGGCAACAGTGCAGAGAAGCGTTTCCTGGAATGTGTGCTTACGGAAACTACTTCTGGACAATAGCCGCGGTGGAAACAGACAAAACACAGTTGTCAGATGCGATGCGCTATAACTAGTTGACCTGTCGTAAGGAGAGTGGTATAGTGAGGAGTTGGGTTGAAGCTGCGTGAGATGCACGCCATCAGGATGAGCCGCTACAGGATGGCTGTCATCTCCAGGCAGCAGCCCCGCGTCTCTTCGGAGGGGCGATTCTGTAATCAATACTTGCAGGAAAAATAAACGTACTGTAGGGATACACAATGCAGTATTGCCACCGACAGCAGGGAGGATGGCCGAGCTGCAATGACTCTGACCTTGCGCTAGAGGCATTTTATTTATTCTGGTGTGGATGAAGAAAGAGGTTGAGATAGACATCAGACATCGCCACCTGCTGTGGGTAGAGTAGATGGTGCTGACGGCTTCAGAAGCCCCAAAGTCGTGGATGAACAACGCAGGCAGAAGGAGAAGACACGGCTGGCGCATTCATCCATATACGAGATCATACCCCAAGCTGCCATACCAATCCACTCTGGCGAACGGCTCCGTACGCCCCAGGAACATTTGAGGTGAAGGCGTCCACCTTTGCCGTCTTCTCATCACTGCTGTTGAGATCATCGGCGGCTCGTGGATCAATTAGTTGGGACGCGTTCGCAGCCACCATGACGGACCTGGGCTTCTCGATCGCACCGTGTAGTCGCTCGAGGCGGACGCGAGTAGCTGGCCGTCTGAGAGAGGGCAGCCAACCTTCAACAGATCCCCAGAGACCGAGCTGTGATTTCTGAGCGTGAGACTCTGTGATGAAATTCCAACCTCACATCAGAGGGGCTGCCACTTCTTCTTCTTCTTCTTCTTCTTCTTCTTCTTCTTCTTCTTCTTCTTCTTCTTCTTCTTCTTCTTCTTCTTCTTCTTCTTCTTCTTCTTCTTCTTC